AAAAATAGCCTAACTCAAATGGCGAAAGAGGTCCAAAAATCCAATGAGGAGAAGAATGCCTTAAAAAGTAGAACTGGCCAAATAGGAAAAAAAATCCAAAAGCTTATTGAAGAAAATAATTTTTAAAAAATCAGAATGAAGCAAATGGAAGCTAATGACTCTATGAGAAATCAAGGAATTATAAAAAAAAAAAAAGAATGAAAAAGAGAAGACAATGTGAAATATCTCACTGGAAAAACAACTGACCTGGAAAATAGATCCAGGAGACATAATTTAAAAATTATTGGACTATCTGAAAGCCATGAAAAAAAGACCCTAGACATCATCTTTCAAGAAATTATCAAGGAAAACTGCTCTGATATTCTAGAACCAGAGGGTAAAATAGAAAAGGAAAGAATCCCCCAATCACCTCCTGAAAGACATCCCCAATGGAATACTCCTAGGAATATTATAGCCAAATTCCAGGGTTCCCACGTCAAGGAGAAAATATTTTAAGCAGCCAGAAAGAAACAATTCAAATGTTGTGGAAACACAATCAAGATAACATAAGATTTAGCAGCTTCTACATTAAGGGATCAGAAGGCTTGGAATATGATATTCTGGAGGTCAAAGGAGCTAGGATTAAAACCAAGAATCACCTACCCAACAAAACTGAGTATAATCCTTCAGGAGAAAAAAATGAATATTCAGTGAAATAGAAGACTTGCAAGCATTCTTGATGAAAAGACCAGAGTTAAATAGAAGATTTGCTTTCAAAGACAAGACTAAAGAGAAGCATGAAAAAGTGAACAGGAAAGAGAAATCACAAGGGACTTACTAAAGTTGAACTGTTTACATTCCTACAAGAAAGATGATATTTGTAACTCATGAGACCTTTCTCAGTATTAGGGTAGTTGGAGAGAATATATATACATATATACATATATACATATATACACACACACATATATACATACACACACACACATATATATATATATATATATAAAAAACAGAGGGCACAGGGTGAGTTGAATATGAAAAGATGATATCTAAAAAACAAAATTGAGGAGTGAGAGAGGACTGCACTGGGAGAAGGAGAAAGGGAGAGGTAGAATGGGGTAAATTATCTCACATAAAAGAGGCAAGAAAAAGCTCTTACAATGGAGGGGAAGAGGGGGGAGGTGAGAGAGAATGAGTTAATCTTACTCTCATTTGAGTATAGAAATTTATCTTACCCTATAGGAAAATAGGGGGAAAGGGGATAAGAGATGAGGGGATGATAGAAGAGAGGGCAGATTGGGGGACGGGGTAATCAAAGGCAAACACTTTTGAGGAGGGACAGGGTCAAAGGAGAGAATAGAAAAAATGGGGGGCAGGATAGCAGGGAAATATAATTAGTCTTTCACAACACAACTATTAAGGAAGTTTTATGTGACTACACGTTTAATCTATATCGAATTGCTTGCCTTCTCAATGATGGTGGATGGGGAGGGAGGGAGAGAATTTGGAACTCAAAGTTTTAAAAACAAATGTTAAAAATTGTTTTTACATGAAACTGGGAAATAAGGTATACAGGCAAAGGGCATAGAAATCTATCCTGTGCTATAGGAAAATAGAAGGGGAAGGAGATAAGAGAAGGGGGGGTGATAGAGGGAGGGCAGATTGGGGGAAGGGGTATTTAGAATGCATGCCATCTTGGGGTGTGGGGATGGGAGAGATGGGGAGAAAATTTGGAACTCAAAATCTTGTGGAAGTGACTGTTGAAAACTAAAAATTAATTAATTAATTTTTTTTAAAAAGAAGTCTGGAAAGGAGAGGGGAAGGTTATAAAAGCCTTTCAATGCCAAGCAGAAAAATTATATTTGATCCTAGAGGTGATCGGGAACCAATGGCATATATTGAGTGAAGGGGTGACATGGTCAGACCTAAGCTATTAGGAAGATCACTTTGGCAGCTAAGTGGACTAGATTGAGGAAAGACTTGGCACACTGAAGTACTCCCAGCATGAGGTGAAGAAAGCTTGAAATAGGCTGGCAGCAATGCCAAAATCAGTAGTTCCTGGCAAGAGATTGGATGGTATGTTGGGGGGGCAGGAGCGGGAGTAGAAGAGGGGAAGATGTTGAAAAAGAAAGAGGAAAGATGACATCCAGTTTTAGAGCCTGGGTGACCAATAGGATAGTGGTATACTTGAAATTAATAGTGAAGTTAGGAAGAGAGGAGAGTTTACAAGGAAAAATGATTATGAATGTAGATAACAACTCCAAGCAGCACCATTAGCAGTACTTGTGATTTTGTCATCAGTAGAAATAATGAGCTCAATGATCTTAGAACAACATTCACAAAATAACGCAGAGCAAAATGAGCAGAACCAAGAAAACATTGTATACAGTAACAACAATATTGTTTTAAGAACAACTTTGAGTTGATAAATAATTTTGACTATTATAAATACCCACATTAACAACAAAGGGCATATGAAGGAAGATGCTATCAGCATCCAGAGAAAGAATGGATGAATAAAAGTATGCATAGAATGGTTTTATATATGTGTTTGATTGTATATGTGTGTGTGTGTGTATATATATTTATACACACACATGTATATATATATATATGTGCCTAATGCTAGTCATCTCTAGGGTGGGGAGTAGAGGAGAAAAAAAGAGAAAAAAAGGTACATGATAATTTTATCATATGTGTGTGTGTGTGTTTAAAAAGGAATAGCAAGTTGTACATAATAGACTTGCAGTTTCATGTACAACCAAGAGGAAGAAGAAGTGTTACAATCTTGTAGCTGAAAGGGAATAATGGTCTCAACTCAGGTGGTGGCTATTTGAGTGGAGAAATGGAGATAGATATGAGAGGTGTTAAGAATGTTAAAATGACAATATTTTGCAACTATGTTGTAAAATGTCAGATGTGTGGGGTGAGAGTGAAGAGTTGAGCATGAATGACACTGAAGTTCCAGACCTAAGTGTCTAAAAGAATGGTGATACTCTATAGAAACAGAAGGTCAGAAGATGGGTGGCCTTTGCAGTAAAGATCATGAGTTCTGCTTTGGATATGTTGAGTCGGAGATGTCTATGGAACATACTGTTTGAAATGTTCAATAGTCAATTGGTGATGAGGCGATGGACCTCAGCAAAGAGACTAGTGCTGGATGTATACACCTTAGAGTCATCTGCATAGAAATGATAACTGAATTCCTGAAAGCTAATGAGACCACAGAGAGAGTGGGGGTTAAAAAAAAGAGAGAGAAAGAAGGACTACGACAGAGCTTTGGGCACACACATTGTAAGGGAATGTGACATGGATGATGACATAGAAAAAGACAATGAGGAGTGAATTAATTAATAAGCACTTGTTAAGCACCTGCTATGTGCCAGTCACTTGAAACACAAAGAAAGGCAAAAATAGTCTCTGTTCTAAAGAAGCTAACAGTCTAAGGGGGAAACAACATGCAAATAACTATGTACAAGCAAGATATAGACAGGATAAATTCGGGGTAATAGAGGAAAAGCACTAGCATTAAGGGGAACTGGGAAAGGCTTCTTGCAGAAGGTAGGATTTTACTTGGGACTTGAAGGAAGACAGGGAACTCAGGAGGCAGAAATGAGGAGGGAGAGCATTCTAGGCATGGGGGAAGCCAGTGAAAATGCTTGGAGTTGGGAGATGCACTGTATTTTGTAAGGAACAAGAAGGTCAGTTTCACTGGGCTACAGAATATGTTGGGGCAAGGAAGGTGTAAGACCACTGGGGAGATTGAAGGAGGGCAGATTATGAATGAATTTGAATGCCAAACAAATAATTTCATATTTGATCCTAGGAGTGAAAAGGAGCCATTGGAGTTGGGTTTTTTTTTTTTTGGCTTTTTTATTGGATTGGGGGAGTGACATGGTCAGACCTGCACTTTAAGATCAATTTAACAACTGAGTGGAGGATGGACTGGAATGTGGAGAGACTTGAGGAAGGAAACTAAACAGCAGACCATTGCATTGTTCCAAAGATAAAGTTATGAGGGCCTTCACCAGGGGAGAGACAGTGTTTCAATGAAAGAAGAGGGTATATGTATATGAGATACTATGAAGTTAGGTCTTGGCATCAAATTGGATACGGAAAGGGGTGAAAGAGAATGAGGAATTAAGCATGACAACTAAGTTATAAGCCTGGGTAACCAGGAGGATGGTGGGAATCTCAACAATAATAGGGAAATCCAAAAGACAATAAGTTCAGTTTTGAAGATAGAAGAACCAAGAAAGGGCAACACCATGAAAACCCAGAGAAAGGAGAATATCCAGAAAGAGACCATTGTCAATAGTATTAATTGTTGCCAGTGTCTGCCCGAAGGGTGGAGAAATAGGAATTATAACTCTCATTCCCATAACCAGGAGAATTAGAGAGCAAACCCTTCTCATTTTAAACTAAATCATCAACAACTTGGACAATTGTTATTCTCTACAAATGACTTTAACAAGCAAAATTACAAAGTAAATATGTCTTAACAGTATCTGTGGTATTCATAAGTGATGAGAAGTCCAGTGTTCCTTCTAGTGTAATGATAACAGTGGTCATCTTTTGGCTATTTGAATGGAGATGAGGGCAGGAGAAGACCTTGACTCTCTCTTAAATTCTATCAGTACAATAGTATTTCCCCATTGGTCACAAATTGAGAGGATGGCTTTCCATCATATATATTGAGCAAGAGTCTCTTGACTTAATTAATCAAAAAGCCTTTATTACATGTGTTCTATGCTCCAAGATTGTGTGATGAGGATACAAAAAAAGGTAAAAAAAAGTCTCTACCATTCAGGAGTTCAAATTTTAACGGGAGAAACAGCATGTAAATAACTATATAACATATACACACTGAGTGGGGTGAAAATATGCTCAAAAAGGAAGTCAGTAGGCCAGACCCCAGTCTGTCCACATCGGCTCCAGAACTTCTGATACTCCCTCTTCTCCTCCTCTGAACTGTGGGGGGAGGGGCAGGCGTGACACATACAGTGTGAGCGTAAGAGATGACAACAGCAACACGACAACAAGTTTTCAACCCGGACCTCAGGATTTTCAGGCCTGCAAAAAGGTGGCATACAGCATCGGGGCAGATGGATAACAACATCAGAGAAAAGCAGTGCATCACAAATGAAGCCAGAATGTTGTTCCTGAAAAACAAAAGTCTTACGGATTCAGAACTAATTAAACAATGTATAGATGAATGTGCAGCAAGAATTGAAATAGGATTGCATTATCAGATTCCATATCCAAGGCCAATCCACCTGCCTCCAATGGCCCTCACTCCCCTACAGAACTGTGGACTTCAAACCCAGGAGAAGTTGAGAAAATTTTCCAAACCATTATATCTCAAGTCTCACAATGAAGTTTCTTAATCCAAGAAATAGGTTCTCTGTATGAACTGTGAGCCAGGGCAGGGCCTGAGAACAAATTAGATGATGAATCTTTTCTACTTAAGACCAGTCAAAGAAAGGAAGGACAAAGAATATAGTGTCTTCACTGCAATTTCTCTAAAACACTCACAGATTTGGGTCCTTCTTCCCAATAACACTAATTTAATGTCCTTGAATTTATCAGTATCAGTGTGTTGCTACTAGATAGAAATACGCAAACTCCCAAAGATCATTTCTAATCAGTAACAGCTTAGATGAAAGTCTGAACATAGCAAGATTGGGCTTAAATTTAAATTTTAAAAATTAAATTTTTTTGTGGAAATAATGTAGCTGTATACACAGAGGACGCTGCAAAGTAGACATATGGCAGTACCTGTTAGCAGCTTTCTTAAAAGTTCTGAAAATTACTATGGCAATCAGATACTAGCCTCAGACTTGTAAATCTCTGTGGGTCTTATTTTGTTTTGTATTTAAGTTATGGATAGATTTAAAATACGCCTTTTTATGTTTTAGTTGTTCTACTGATATCTTTTTTTGGCTCTCTTGACTCAAAGATATACTTTTCATTAATATTCAAGTAGGCTAGTTTCTCCTTTATCACACTAGCAGAATTCATCATATATACTCTAGTCCCATCATCCCCCTTAACCATTAGTGCAAAATATCATAGTATCTCAGGGATTTTGGAGAGGAGGGAAATATCCCAAATTTTCAGGAACTAATGTAGTATATTTAATTCTGTTCATTAAACACATACTCTGTACAAATTCTAAAACGTGTGAGTTACAATTCTGGCACGAAAGCCTCACCGCAAACTCACACTACAATAGGTAAAATTAATCACTATTTCTAATTGACAACAAGCAGAAGAACATGTTGTATAAATTACAAGGCTAGGCTGATTTGAAATTACGTACAAATAGGAAAAGGAAAATCTAGATCAAAAGGAGAAAGGACTGTGCCTTTGTGGTAATCTAAGGGGAAACTCCACTGACAGTCACTGGACATCAGTGTTCTGTTTTCAAAGATGATGAAAATCTTCAATAAAAATGGTTCATAAAAAAAAAGGCACTAAGAGCTTGGATTATCAGAAAGGGGGGACAAAATTCAGGAGTGGGAGGGGTTCCCACTAAAGAATATCCCCATGGTGGAGAATTATAGTCTGTAATGGGAGATGAGGACCCTAAAATGGTACTAATCTATTTTTCTAAGAGAGATCATTTCCTCTAAGAAAGTTCAATGACTTCCATGGACAACATATAGCATAAAGAGAAAGGAATGCAGAAGTCCTGCAGATGACTAGTATCCAGAAGGGTAAGAGAGCATAGACCCAGAGAAGAGATTCTACAGCACATAGAAAACAAAATGCTAATAGGGAGGATGGCGTAGAATTGCAACACAATTTGAGACATGGGAAAATGTCTAACATTGGGCAATGTTTATATCCTTATTGCCTCTCTCAGGAATTGATGCTTCTAAGAGTGTGGCACAACAGAAGGAGAAAAAAAGAAGAGGGCAAGATATACAAGGCAATAACATCGAGATTATTCAGAAGAGGGAAGTCAAACTTGGTATTTTATAAGCTTTAATTCCACGAGGAACACAAAAACTAAAGAATGAATAAATAAATATAAGGACCATGAATCAAAGAATAAAAGTTTAAAATATACAAAAGGGAGAAAATATTAATGAAGAGAACAAGAGGAAAAATTCTTTTTTTTTTTAAGAAGAAAGGCACACAGACAAAAACTTAACAAATAAAAAAAAGTTGGAGGAAAGGAGAGGAAGTAGAATTTTGAATTAATCACTTAACTGAGAGGAAAAAAAATATTTATGCAGAAGGTGAAAAAGGAGAAAAGGCAGTAGCTAACTAAATAAAAGAAAGAAAATCAGTAAGTAAAACTCCAATACTAGGGAAAAAGTTGACAAATGTTGGCGGCAGTAGGGGGTTAAGGGTGAGGGGAAGAGAACCTATGGGAATCGGGTTAAACACTAAGCAAAAAAAAAAAATGGAGGGACAATGTACTATCTTTAATGTTCCCCTTTCCTCATGCTTGGAATTCTCTCTCCTTAGCTTCTCTGACTTCCTTTGAGTCCCAGCTAAAATCCTAATTTTGACTAACTAAGATTACCCACACATGTGCTGAGATGAAAAGCAGGGGCCTTTATCCCATATGCCCAAAAAGAAGCTCATCAAACATCCATGTGGATTCCCTACACGTTATCCTAGGACAGAGTCCTCAATGGCCAGTTTCTTGTTACACTGTGACTTACGATTTTGTGCAAGTCACTTAACTCAAAGTACCTTAGTTTTCTTATCTCTAACATGGGGTGGAGGTGATGACAGTTGACCTCTGAGGAACTTTTCATGTTCTTCATAGAACCTATCATCCTATGAATGATGAATCTAAGGGTGTGGTCAGAAGGAGTTTCTCTATGCTTGCCCTTGCCTCCACTGAAATCTTTCTTTTGAGAGGTGAGCAGGCATACAGTCAGTCAACAAGCATGTGTTAAGCCTTTATTAAATAATATATATATATATACATATATATATATATATACATATATATAAATAAATAAAAATGATAATCCAGACCTGTGATAAGCTCTGGAGACACAGGAAAAAAAAAAGCAAAAGCAGCCCAAACCCTTAAAGAGCTTCCATTCTAATGGCCAATCAGATGTGCATACAATTTAGATGAAAAGCCAATGTTGGATGAAGTTGGAGGGCAGGATCAAGGCTGCAACTAGCAAATCAACAACTAGCTCCAATGGGAGCTATTTCTGAGTTTCCTAACTCGACTATGAGCCTTTACAAAACCGTAAGTGAAAAAGCAGTTGAAGGGGACATCTAGGTCACAAATAGAAATGTAGATAATTGTGTTGTAAATCATCTGTGTTACAGACTCTGTATTTCAATATTCTACATTCTAGGCTTTCTTCCAGATCTAACATTCATTGTTTTATGTTATAACATTCTATTTTTTATCTTCCCATCTAACTTGAACATTCTAAATTTGTATAATTAAAAGGTAAAGAAGAAAGTTAAAATGCTAGTGAGAACTTCTTAACTAACTTCATTCCTCCTTTTCTGATGGAGATGGTTGCACTGAACCTAATGATATAGTAATATCATTAGCTATGCTCTATCTTGACAAACCATCTGGCTAAAAAAGTTTTTAAAAATCAATTTTAAGGAAATATTTATATGCTTGGTTTCACATTGTTAAACATCAGAATGACTCACTTTTCAACCAGATGTTTTGATTTTCCAATACATGAGCCCACCTAATGCCTACTGCATGTCACTATGCTGATTAGTTTCTCATGTCATGAGTTTGTTTTCTTTTTTAAGGTGACCAAAGAATGAATGGTTGGATGAATGAATGAATGAAAGAACATATAATAAATGTTTACTATTTGTCCATTACAAGTTCTGGATATAGAATAGAAAGTCATAGATAGTCCCTGCCCTCAAGTAGTTTACATTTTAATTGGGTAATATAACTCACCTGAATAATGGCCATGTTGGGGCACTATGGTCTAGAAAATTCTAGAGGACTTAGAAGTAGGACTTTGTAGAGGCCTGACATAGCAGTTCCTCCCTCTCCTTCTCATTTCCCATACTACTCCTCCCTCCAAAGGCTGGTGCTTTCTTAGGCTACATTAAGGGGAAGCATGGTGTCCCCAACAAGGGAGGTTATGGCACCACTGTATTCTGCCTTGTTTAGAACATACCTGAAATACTCTATGTTCTCGGTGACATATTTTTGAGAAACCTAAAGACACACCAAAATACATCAAGAAGAGGGTGACTCTAGGATGAAAAGACTGAAGAACTTGTCTTCCAAAAATCAGTTGAGTTTTTCAAATTATTATTACTTTTGGAGACATCAAGTCTGAACAACCACTGAGTACTGTTTAATATAAAGTGTAGACTTGGGTGGGTCTTGACAGGACATGCTAATTATCTCAAGGGGATATCTCAATTATCTCAATGTGGAAGAGGGGGATTAAACTAGTTCAGCTGCGCCTTCAAGGGTAGAAGTAGACTTATGATGGGGGGTGGTGTATATATGTATTACAGAGAAGTAGATTTAGACTTGATACAAGGAAAAGCTTCTTAACACTACAGCTCTATAAGCCTCCAAGGGAAGTGTAGTGCTTCCTCCCTTGCTGGAAATTTTCAGTCACAGAATATGCAAACACTTTTCAATCCACTATACTCTAAATCTTTCTTCATGACAACAGAAAACCCCTCATCCTGGAAGAGCTCCACCATTAGATGTGAGTGAGGGAGAGCTGGGCAAAGTCACCAGACTCACTTTCTCCTCCAGTGCCATCTGAGGCCAGTGGCCAAATATCAATCAGTATGACTGGAGATAGCCCAGAGTGGTTTACTCCACGTGGCATGTAGTAAGTATTTAATGAGGACGGGCTACAAGAATGGAAGGGTACTTCTCAGGTCTCTAGGTGGCACGTAGCAGGTAGGTGGAAGAGTGGATAGAGTGCAGGGCCTGGAGTCGGGAAGACTCATCTTCCTAAGTTCAAATCCTGTGTCAGACACTTACCAGCTGTGTGACCCTGTACAAGTCATTTAACCCTGTTTCTGTCCATTTTCTCATCTGTAAAATGAGCTGGAGAGGGAAATGGAAACAACTCCAGTATATCTGCCAAGAAAACCCCGAATAGGGTCATGGAGAGTCTGGCATGACTGAAATGGCAAAACAACGAACAACAACAAAAACAAAGTGTTTAATAGATTCTTGTTGACCGACTGACCTTTCCAGTGATATATTAGATACCAGTGCAATCACTGGAATGTTGCTCAGCTATGAGATGGATTAGATGGCCTGTTATTTCCCTTTCCACTTTTAGTTTCAGTGATTCAATAACAGCTGAAAAGGACCTAAAACATTTAGTGTGCTATATATGGCAACTAAGTGAGAAAGTATAGAATGTTGGACCTGTAGTCAAGAAAA